AAACTGTAACAGAGAAATCAAAATTTGCATCTCTCTATTGCTTCAGGTAATTAGAACATACAAGTTTATGATTAATACGACTAGAGGGAGAGATAATTCGTGTTGAAGTGCAAAAAGTTAACTCATAAAATCTGGTAAGCATCAATGAGAAATTGTGTTTGTTGTAAGGTATTGAAAACAATTTAAATTTTTGAAAAAAAATATTTTTTGAAATCCTCCTGATTTGATTTTATTGTAATATGTTGGCTTAATGGACTGCAAGAAGCGAGCAATCAATGACACAACAGACAGCAGAAATCTGAATTAAAAAGCCGTTTTTTACATGTAATAAGGTGATGTGTATTGGACTTACATATTTCGTGGTTTAGTTACGTTGAAAAAAATAGACGATGTACTCTTCTATTCAGCGAAAACTCCATGAAATATTCTCTTCACAGATAAACGAAATAATAGTATCCTGTTATTTAAAGAGAATTAATCATCCCCCTTTACACTCGTCTATGACATTTTTATAAAAAGTCTAATTACTTTCATGTAAGAGGAGGAAAAAGATGCTTCTAGTTCTTGGGAAATAAACTAAATCATTAGCGAGACTTAGCACATAAGATTACACCATTTTCTTCGGATTAGAGAGCTATTTATCCAATCTATTCAATTATTTCTATCAAAAGCATGCAACACCGACTAGTGATTACCATTCATTAAACATGACATTATAAAATTAAGTTTGATACAGTAGGATAAATATCTATGAAATGTAGACTTAATGTTCTATAAAGTACGTCAACTACAGGCTCTTTTTCAACGGTAGCTTCTCTGACCGATGATGCAGTCACTGTTTTAATTACAAAAATGGGGACTTCCAAATCATCCAAAACATACCTGACGATATGTTAAAATTCTTCATTAACACAATTGATTTTTGAAGCTTAAACCTAATGCTTAGTATCAGTTTAATTTTATTAAATTTCTATCATTAACTGTGAATCACTTCGAGAAATTTTCGGATACACTAAGGCACTAAGATGGAATTTGTAAACTTCAAGACATAAACCACTAAAATTCAGAGATTCAATACCCTGGTCCCTGTTTGAAACACAAGACTAAAGCGCTGCATCTAGTAATATACTTGACATAGCATATTTACGGCTACCAGAAAAAATTCGAAAAAATGTGAACTCAACTGATAAAAAAGGTATTTTCACTCTGCAATAAATCAGTCATAAATGAGCTATTCAAAGTTAATATCAAAATAATTCCTGCATCATTCCAATAACTTCACCGCTTCCAAACTCTGATTGTAAAGTATATTACATTTAGCATCGTCCAATGAATATAATGAAGGAGTATGTTCTTTACACTCTCTGAAATAAGATTTTAGTAGGAAATTACTCATTTCGTCAAATCTTTAAATTTAAATTGCAGTTACAGAATTTTAAAATAATAACAGGAACTGTCTGAAACTACCATAAATAAAATTGGTAAAGTAGTATAAATTTTCAATTTCCCCTTATAAAAAGGAGGTAAAATACAAAGACACCATTTTCGATAGTCCCTATAAAAATATGGATTTGAGATCCGTTGTTTTTTACAAAATATTTGAAAGACGAACCCAAAATATCTGCCCGAAATAGCCTCCACATTTTTGCTCAACGCCACATACAAAGTTGTTTGTGCACCATCCTAAAAATAATTAGATTGAAAAATTTGGTTTCAACAAGCTATTCCTAATGGTGACTCTTAAATTCAGTTCAAAATCATTCTTCATGAGTTGAAAAATATTGCAAAAAAGCTTACTTATATCCTCTATCTCATTTATGTGTAACAACTTGTAGAATTAGAACTCATCAACAAAAATAATCGAGAATATTACTTTATCGGTTTTCATGAAGAACCATAGAAGTGGAGAGATGATGTATTTGATATACTTTTGGCTGAAAATCGTGTAGCGCATAAGTTCAGTGAAACAAACACCGGGATGTACAGCATTGATTGTCACCGTAGTTCCTGGATCTTTTGTCCTCAGTCGTCTGGTTAATTCACGGGCATGCATAACCTAGAATTTTTATAACAACCAA